ATATATATATATATATATTCCTCTTATACACTTGTAATTATATAATACAAATATTCTCCTGCCCAATTTTCTTTTGCCTTTTTTTCCCCTCGTTTTAAATAAAATTGATCTTTTGTGTATGTACATCAAAACAGAAACAATTTATATACAATTACTTTCTTTTGATATGTACAATGGAATATACATATTTATGTTTGTTATGGAACACAATTATGCGAACTATAATTATAGTACATACAGTAAGATGATTTTTATGTTTGCTATAAGTAGAAATTATTTTTTAATTTAATATGAGAAAAATGAATTCATTTCACCTATATGAGCTGAAATTGACACCCCTACCCCACATACTTAATAAATTAATATAATTACCAGTACATTATGCAAAATAAATATTAGACAGATAAATTTCCCTACTAACAAAATTGATTTGAAAAACTAGTCGAAAGAAGAACTAAAGAAAAAGTGAAAGGGAAGTATTACAAAAAAAAATCCGAGAAAAGAATAGAAATCAACTAGTGAAAAATAGGATCCTGGTATTATTTTATTTAAAAAGTAATTCCTCACGCACTAATTTTTCGATAGCAGTATAGATTTTGACAAGTTATTTCTTGGGCAAAGTTATTTTTTAGAATTATAAATTTTTAGCATTATTTTGAAAAATATATTAATAATTTAGAAATTACTCCTAAGCGGTTTATTAACTCTACAAGAAATTTAGAGAAAAAATAAAATTAAATTTACCACAAATATTTATGTCACAAAAATATCGAGAAAAGTAAAATCATACCAATTCGTGCCTAATGTTTTTTCTGAAGTTGTTATAGTCTAATAATATATTAATAGTCATACCGTCACAATAATTACTGAATTGACCTTTAATTATATTAAGTGGGTGATTTTAATTCTTCAACTAACAGATTCAAAAAAGTTAACAGAGAGTTCACTGCTAAAAGGAGTAATTCGAGTATTCTTAAAATTATTGTAACTTTTAAAAAGAATTTTCGCTGCAAATCTATCGTTCGTTAATATAAGAGGGATGGTTAATGCCTATCAAGTTGGTTTTGTTGAAATTGTAGCTCAGATTGATGAGTCTGTTCTTCAAGATAGGGACATGGAAGACTTAGCTTGTTTTTCAAAAAGAGAGAATTAAAATGGAATATCCGAACTATCCCTTTTAGCAGTGAACTCTCAGTTAATTTTTTATTTTTTTTTGAATATGTTAGTTGAAGGATCAAAATCACTCACTTGATATAATTAAAGGTTAATAGTGCTAAGTTAAATTACACAAGAAATAAAATAAGAATATAGCCTCAATATAGAGACTAAAAAGGCCGTTTCCCCATCTATTTTCTAACATATATTCCTATTTTGTGCACATGATGACTAATTGTTGAGTCTCTTTGAATGAGATCTACAATTCATTGATACTGTATAGAGTATCGACAATACATTAGATTATAGCTAAATTAACATTTATTAATGAAAACTGACTTAGATTAAGATGCCAAGTTTATGATTTTTTTTTTCTTTCCTTGGCAAAATTGATCAATCAAAACGCATATGGATTAAGGATTTTACATCTTCGTTAAATATTTTTGAGAACATTTATTTATAAGAAAAAATTTCTTTAAAATTACATAGTGATTTGTTAATGAAAATAATAAAAATAAGTTTTAAAATTCAAATTTTATACTATATGTCTCGTCCCAATATCTAAATCCAAATATCCCCAATGGCCCAAACCATACCCTTTGACCCCGATCCCGTGCTCTCCACCCAAGCCCGCCAGCTTAGTGCTTTTTGCGATAGTTTTTGTTTATTTATTAAATATGTAAAATTTAAAAAATAAATCACTTCTTTTAAAATATAATACTTGACGAAAAAAAAATTCTTTTTTACTAAAAACACCCTCAAGAGTCAAGTACCAACTTCGTCCAGGAGAACCAAATGCTTCTCCGGCCCTCGAATAGTCTTAATATAATATTAATTTAAATTAATTAAATTTTAATATAAATATTAAACATTAGAGATCGGATAAAAATTTTTTAAGAAAAATGCTTCCCTAAAGCTTCTTTTGTTAATATTTTCGTCTCAAATTTAGTGGTTTAGTTGAAAATATGAAATTTGTGATATGCAGCCAACCGCAAAATAATTGTTTTTATTTTTGTTTATCTTTTTTATGGAGTAACTTATTCACACTTTGCACGATAATTAATATTTAATAACTTCGTTAAAATTAGGAATAATTCTTCTTTAATATTTGAATATTGAAAATAAAAATCTAAAAATTATAAGATTTTTTATCTTCTATAATTTTCAATGTTTATTCTTCGATATAATTATCTTCTCAATATCGGTTAATTTTTCATGAATTCGTCAAATATCATTTATCTATTTTTTATATGTACATACAAAATATAAAATACTCAATTTTTTGTATGTACATTTCCCACAGGAGAAAATGAGAAATCAACTTTTTCCTCTAAAAAAAAGTTCAAAAGAACAGAAATTCTTCTCTTTCTTCCTTCTCCAATTCCCGTAAAGCTTTAGCAAAAATTCTTGTGAAAGTTTTTCCTTTGAAAAGCAAATTGTTGTAGTAATAAATACGTAATTATAAATTGTGACTTTACTTCGTCTCTATATGTAATTACACTTTTTAATTAGTGAAACAAATTCAATCATCTCGCAAATTATATATTTAATTAAATTCATTAGCTCTTATTACCAAAAATACAAAAGTAATGAAAGATAAAAATATTATAAATCATTGAATAAAACACTAATTTCATTTAATTATGAACATTCAAAATTTTGCTAAGCAATCTATTTTTATTTACATTTAATTACATTAATTTCATAAATTGCTATATTATTTATTCTGATTCATTCCGCCATAAGTATCTGATTAGTCTTTTGTCCATTCAATTCACGTATAATTAAGTTGAAAATTTAATTGGGGCTATTTTAGAGTGAACACTAACACTATAGTCAACTGGGAAAATAATTGCTTTTATTTTATTTTCAGATATGTATGTCCATATTGCACATCACATGGGAATTAATTAAGATTTTAATTAATTAATTAATTACAATGTCTACAAAGACATAATGTCGTGTAATGTAACGCTGTCTCATGTGCTAATCAATATATATATATATATATATATATATATAAATGAAGATCATAGAGCAGCTGATGTGGCACCTCTCTATGGCCTCCATTTCAATTTTTTTTTTTGCTTCTTTTTTTATTTTTTTTCATTAAATAATTTGTTTATTAATTAAAAAATTTATTCATATTTATTATTCTAATTATACCTAATAAGTTACAACAAAACCTCCATCTATTTACATTTCCTACTTAAATAATATGTCTTTTCAACTTATTTTTAATTATTCTTATGGTTTATACAAACTACAAATAACAACTATCTATGTTCAATGAATATTCTCATTTTCTCATTCTTTCTTTTTATTAGTATAGTTTTTTCCTCTTTTACATTTTTTTCATCTTTTTCATCAATCATATAGTTAATAAGTTCACCATATGATCTTCATATTGATAAAGATCATAGATATATTCTTCAAGATTCATCAAATTGATGTTTGCATTAGTTTGGTACAAGTTTATGAAAATGAAGAAGGAGTCATAATTATACAAGATTTCATCAAGAAGATGGTCATATTAGTAAAAAAGTTTGAATGATTTCCAAATATTTTGAAGATTAATTCATTCATGTATTGTTTTGATTATATTTTTTAGTTAGATATATAATTTCATGCTATTCAACAAAAATTAAATTATGAAACTCTACTAATCAACACATTAGAAAGCTCAATTAACATTATTTTCTTCATTTTACTTTGCTCTTCTTCTTCTTCTTCTTCTTCTTATTATTATTATTATTGTTATTATTATTATTATGTGAATGAATGAAGATTAAAAGTTATATAGTTTTATTTTTATGTAATTTTTTCGTCAAGTTCTAATTAATGTTTTAATTTTTGTCATAGTTGAAAAATATAATATTGCACATGATACATTTCTTATAGCTATTGCATATCGATGTCTCTAAAAAAATATATGATGTAGTTTACCATATTAAAAAAAAAGTCAGACTAAACAAAAAATAAATTAATCATTTTTAGTACTTTTAAAAAATTTAATGAATTAAATAAATTATTTATTTAATGAAAAGAATGAAGAAATTTTTTTCCCTTAGTCACATTAATTATATTTAAAACTAAAAAGTGTAATTTATTTAACTTCTCTTAATTATTGAAAATGAGAAACATAAAAAAAAGTGATGTGACATTTATTCTCTTTATTGACCTTTTTTCTTATTTAAATTAATTAATTTTTGTAAAAGCAATTTACTTAATTAATTAAAAAAAATTATTAATAGAAGAACAATTACAATAAAAACTTTTCACATACTACTTTATTAGGAGTAAATAATAATCATCCATAACTCACATCTAATTTCTAATCCTAATAGATTAATTTTCCATTTTTTTTGACCTTCTTCTAATTATAATTTTAGAATAACAATTTTAAAAAAATATTTTAAGTTATTTTCTCTTTATTATTTACTTACATCCAATATATCTATTTACATATAAAATTAGAATGTTAGAAATAAATAAGATGATGTAGTACATTTCTATCACCTCCGATCACATTTATCTTTTATTTAAATTATTTAGCATGTTTTTTATTTTTCTTCACCAGTTTGATATTGTAAAATATATTTTCAAAATTTCCTCTTCAAATAATTACTTTATAGTATTATTTTGCATAATTAACATTTTTTTATATGTGTAACTTTTATTTTTAATTTTTAATTGTTAATTAATAATATTCATGACTTCAAAACCTTTCATGTGGATAACCCCCTAAAGTAATTAATGTGCAAGTTATATAATTTTTCTTATCTTACTTAGTTGCTACAAGTAACAATTTTGAAGAGATTTTTTATAGAGTTTTTGTATTTTATTAGTATTTTTTTATATATTATAAATTTATAAGTGTTTATTAACAGTTTGGTATATTGTAACAATTGCTTTTTTTTTCGTTCTGTAATAATAATTATTGTGTTGCTATTTTTTTTTAAATATTGAATGTTTGCTTTTCATATTAGATTTTCATATTAGATTCATGTTAAATTAAAAAAATTAAGTAGAGTATATTGTTAGTTGAATAATGAAAATATGATAATCCTATTGAATTGCTTA